GTGGGCCGTGGGAGTTTCTCGCGTGTTTTTTTTATCGCGCCGGGGGTTTTGGGAAAGAAAAAAAAACTCTTTTTTCCGGGGTGGCTTTTTTTTTTTTTGTAAAATTTTTTTTTTTTTTTTTTTTTGGGGGGGGGGGGGGGCAAAAGGGGCCCCGACCCCCGGGAGAGAAAGGGGGGGGGGGGGGGGGGGGGGGGGGGGGGGGGGGGGGGGGGGTAAATAATAAGCGACAAAGTCCGCGCAGTTTTTCAAGAAGGTGAGAAGATGAAGTGCCAATGATGCGTGTCAATAATGCGTCGAGACTTTGCCGTTGGGATTTTCTCCAATGAAACGGTGGACTGAAAAAAAATAACACGATTAATGACACTGATCTACAACATCTATATGATCCGGCAAGTTTTACGTACATCATCATCATCATCATCATCATCATCATCATCATCATCATCATCATCATCATCATCATCATCATCATCATCATCATCATAATAATCTTTATTGAGGATACCAATTTCACTGATAAGGATTAACAAAAGAGTCCTCAAGATAATCTGCAAGATCTATACGGATCTTTTATCACTGGAAAGTAAGCAACACAGGGCTTTTGAAGTAAAAAAAGCGAGCAAATGCTGAAAAATATGCCCGAAAGGTTTCAGTAGAAATTCATTCTGATTTCAGCGTGAGGCCAAGTGTTGAGCATGCGTACTTAGGGAACAAGGTGAGAGCGCTATTAAATTGTTTTGTTGACTTTCAAAGGCAATGTAAACAAACGGCAATATCTTAAAATCTACTCATTAGAGTTTAACGAAATTAGGCAGAACTGCAGTTATTACCTCACTCAATGATAACCTAAAAACACAAGTTAAACATAGGAGTTTTGTGACAATTAAAATTTCAAATAATAGCTTTTTTTCAAAAATTACGAGAAACTTAAAAAAACCTTCGAAAACTGAGGGTTATTAAATCGCAAGTTGTTAGCAAATTCTCGAAAATTCATAAAGAAATTAGACAGTTTACAGTTCCATATTTTCCATAAGATCGACGAGATCGAGCGCTCAGCATCACTGGCAGCCACTTTGTTGTTGGTTTCCAAAGAACCGAGCGGGCGGGTGGGCGTCAGGGTTTATAGATAGTCATCTTTGATGCTAGACTGCTAGACTAGGTCAAGATGGCCGCTAATCTCGTACCCAGATCTCACTCTGTTTGACACTGAGAAGTGAGAGATCTGGGTACGAGATTATATGGCCGTCTGTAGCGCTCGTTCTTAACGATCTTAAGTGAAAATAGGGGATTGTGAACAGTTTATCTATAAGGAAATCAAATGACTGGATTTTTCTTAAACCTACGAAGTTAAAAATTTTAGGCTTGTTTTAAATCATTCATGTTGTCATGGAAACAATTGAAATCTAGCGTTTAACCAAATCAACTTGATCTTATAAATATATTTTGTCCTTGTGCCTTATACATGCAACGAGTATTAATAACAGCCCAATGTCGAAGTGGTCATGATTCACAACCAATCAAACAGTGCTGAGCCACCTTACACCGACTTGCAAAGCCGTAGCAGGTGTAAGCACAGGCAACATCCGCCCGGAAGTGAGCCTTTTTCTATTTTAAATTTCCTTGAAGTTACCACATTATTTTGTATTGCTAGGTGTCTTTACCCTTATAGAGACGATTTGCCCAAAAACTTGTTTAAAATCACGGCTTAAGGGTGCAAAAAAGCTCACTTCCGGTTGACGTGCGTCACTCAAAAACGTCGCTGCTTAAACTATAGCCTGAGAAAACAGCTGTCATTTGGTGACGCTACCACTGGTTTCCCCGCCAAATGACGTCTGAGAAACGAGAGCAGAATTCCATACTGATGACGCGTCACTACCCAGATCTGGGTAGTTCTTCTGATTGGTTGAATCAAATTTCCCACGCGGTAAGACCAATCAGAAACACTGCCCAGATCTTGGTAGTGACGCGTCATCAGTATGGAATTTCTGCGCTCGTTTCTCAGACGTCATTTGGCGGCGAAACCAGTGGTAGCCTGTGACAACAGCCGACATTTGGCGACGCTACTTAAACTCCCTTTTAAGATAAACTTGACACACCTACACACGCCCTCTTTAATTACTTTGGTGGTTTAGTAACAAAAAAAGCTACTGCGCATAGTACGTCTACGTTGTAATAATCGTTTAGTATGCTTGCAAGGTGGACGATTGACGTTGTCATAAAGAGCCCGGCGTCAGATTCATGCGCTCTCGTTTGTTTTTCAATACACCAATATTCACCTTAGTGCTGTCCTTAGGAGTGAACCATACTTTTCACAGTCCGCTCCCTTTTTTGTCGAAAAGCGTCAGTACGGCATATTTAATAAAAAGTCAGTGCTTATTTTTTTTTCACTGAACCGAGTTGTTCGATAAAGCTGACAAAGCAGTCCCTTGTCTTTCACGTACCCAAGAAGAATATGGCGGATAAGCACAATTATAATTGCCTTTCCGTCTACAAGAACTTAAAGTTTTGAACGCCTCACGAAATGGCAAATACCGTAAGGCATAAACAATCGGGTTACAGAACGAGTTGGCAAAAGCAATCCACATCGTTATTAATATAACCCTAGGTGGCACTTTAACAGATCCAGCAATCTTTCTGTAAGTACCCGCAGTGTAGAAAGGTGTATAACAACAAAGAAACAGCCCAATAACAAGGGCAAAAGTTTGCGCAGACTTGATTTCTCTTTTCATAGAATGTGTTTCCGGTGATTTTTCCTGTTGTGTTTCATCTTCGTCGCAAATGTCTGCCAAGGACTCTCTTAGCCTTCGCTCTTCTCGACTCAACTGTCTCGCTTGCCTGAAAGCTGTTCTAAAAACAACGATGTTGGAGAAGAAAATTATTGCGAAGGGTATGATTACAAATACTGAGACGAGAAAAAAGATATACGGCGAAGATGGCTTGTTGCTTTTTAACTCAGTGCATCCATAGGTATAAGCCCTGAATTCAAAATCTGCTAGTGGGATGTTCGTCAAAACGGCTACAGACAGCCAAATCAGCAGTAAAATGTTTCTGACCCTCCTTTTAGTGATAATGAATTGATAACGAAATGGTTTTTGGATAGCGATGTAGCGATCCACGCTTAGGAAACACAAGTGAAGAATTGAAATGAAGGAGAGCGAGAGACCAATTGAAGCGATGGCTTGACAACCCCATTCTCCAAAGATCCACTTCTCAGTCACTGTCGTTGCTGCATTTAAAACCATAATAATAACCATGCTTAGGTCTGTGAAAGCTAAGCTTAGCAGTATGAAGTTCGTGTTTGTCCGAAGATGGCGGAATTTGATAACAGAAATGCAAACCAGTGAGTTGCCTATCGCCGTTGTTAAAATGATGCAAATAAATATCACCATTTCAATGACAATTCTAGCTCTTCCTGACATCGTGGACGCGTATGATTCATCATCAGCCATAGTATCTTAGCGTCAAAATCGTCGGGTAGAACAAAAAGCTGAAGAAGATTTTAATATTGTGTGGCGTGATGTTTCTCGTGGCTACCGTCATTTGATATAAGGATACTTAGCTATGCGTAATTAAGGGTGCTGGCAGATAATCGGATGAAAGACTGTAACAGTTCACAAAAAAGGATAACTTTGTGACACCGAATAGTTTTGAAACTGTGCATAACAAAAAGAGTCTCTAAAGACAGGCGAAAATTATAACTCTGGCATGGACTGTATGCTTACTTTTCAAGGTGTTAGAGTCAGATTATTACACCCAGTGTCGAACGATTCATTGTCGAGAACAAACAATATTGTAAATGAAATTAAACAAAAAAATGGCGTTTTACGCAAGTGTTTCCGACAAGATTTCTTTTTATATCGTTTTGTTTTTAATGGTCACATCAAAATCTCAAACCGATATTTGTTAACTGAACCCATAAATAGATAGCTCTGTGAACAAAGGAAGGATAATCAAATCATGGTTCATCGGAGACTCATTTCAGTGACTTCATTTACACACATGATGTAGACAGTCTGCCAGATCAATTAGAGAAAAGGAAAAAGAGATAAATGATTTTTTTTACGTCGCAGATGTCTGCAGAACGTAAATATAGGATTAATGTAGGATCTTTGCTTTATCGTCATCTTTATTCACACCTAGAAATTCACAGAGGAGTGTTTGCTCAGGCTCGAAACATCGACAGCTAAGATGGAAAAAACCGGTCATAACTGAGCTTCATAAAATTCGAGGCTTTTGACGTTTACTGAGGAAAAAATCCACAAGATTTTTCCGCATAAGGAACGGCTCTCTCCCTTTTTCGCTTCCATCTTTTCCCTTTTCCCCCAGAAACGCCTGATACTCAGGCTATGTTCGAGAACGTCTAACGGTCAACAAAAGTCTATTTTATTATCTCATTCCAAGCGTCTTCTGTCAATGAAGATATTATTTATCACATAAATCGTCATGCAATGTCAGCAGAGACGTCAAATAGAATTACAAGCCATCATAAACCAGGAACCGTGGCCTATAAAAACCTGGGTCACATAATCCCATTTGTTATCTCATTTAACTTAAAGTACCCTATCTAATTTGTCCACTTAATTTACTAGCATTATAATTTCGTATATGAACAAAGTTTTCAACAACTTTCAAACGGTAATGTACCGTCCGCTAAATCAACCGAAAACATTTAATCGCCCTTCTAAACCATCTCAGCCGATAGAGTAAACTCTGACGCAAATAGCTTACATCAAATCTGGGGCGATAAAATGCTTGAATTGCAGGTTGATGACAGTTTTAGTGTGGGTGGGCAATCTTGCAGAGGTATTCGATACATAACGTCAGTGTCGGTCGCATTTCGTCGGCCTTGTTTCGTGACGCATCGAATTCCAGGGATATGACGTGTACAAGATGCTCAATTATAGACATTCTCTTATTTAAAATCACTACACCGCACCATCTGGATAAATATTTCATTTACGTAGCTTTGAGCTGTTTGCCAAGATATTCCCTAAAAGGCAAGCAATTAAACATACCATCAATGTATGTAAATCTGAAATACTAAATGTCAAAAACTTTCTCGTCTGAGTCTAGCCCTTCAGCGCCAACGTAACCTGCGATCAGGCGTTCTTTTCTTTTTTTTTCGGGGAAACGCGAAATTCGGTGGACAGACAAGGAGAAAAAATGGAAGAAGGAACGCCTGATCGCAGATTAGCGCTAACGCAGAGGCCATAGGTTCAAATGCCCTTGAAGCTCCCCATTTTTTTCCGGTTAATTTGCAGTTGCTTTCAACTGCGATGAACTTATCTTCACTGAATTAAATTACTTTTGTATGCTATTATCGAGAACTGGCACTTTTTGAATCGCCTTCCTTGCGGCCCTTGGCAGTGACTGCGGCTTTTTCCGCTCGTGCAAACACTTGTTCGCCTTGGACAGCCGTGTTTCCAGTTTTCCGCCCTGCTTGACGTCGAGCAACAAGTTTCCCGCACTTCTTCACAAAGATTACAATCCACGATCCTACGATTGGTTTCAGTTGTAGTTTTCGTTGTTTTTTCTGTGATTGGTTGGTTGAATTATCATGTTACTTTTTGCAGAAACGATATAACATGTGGTGTTACTTTATCTCAAAACGGTAGAAAATATCCTGTTAACCCTTACCAGTTGTGAACCATGAGTTTCTGCACAGCCAGGAGAGCTTCTTTACGAACACTAGGATCGTTATGGGACATCATTTTCATCACCTTGACTTTACAACCAAGATTCTCAAGCACACTTAGAATTAAAGAACACACACATTCAGACCGAAAACACAAATCATTTGTAGAAAATTCACTACGATAGGAAGAAGCTAAACAACATTGAACAAGAAAACAACATACTGTTTTCCTCGAGGGTGATGCCGTACATATTCACCAGTATCATGAGCCGCTACTGCCAAAATGGTTGGATCAGCGGACGTCTCCAGTAACCTTGTCAGCATCCTAGAGAATTACCAGCAAACCAATCAGAATCTACTTCATTACGCAATCATTACAAGCGTAGAAAAACGAAGGAAACTAAGGAGATCAGGGTGACACTGCTACGAACAAGAACAATGGTATCCGGAAATTTCAAAAAGCAGCTAAACTTAGAAAGTTACCACAAAAAAAACGTCAAGGGGATTCGCGTACAAAACGCGAGCAATGCTCAAATTTGTGGTTTGCAGCGGGCGGGCGTCCCGACGGCGATGTTGGTTGACAAGAACGAATTCTGCATGGCCGCCATGTCACATGGTTGCAAACCAAGAATTTGGGTGCCGTTTTCAACTTCGAACTAATCTTAGGCAGGCTAAGCCCGAGAACCGAATCTTTAATGAAGGAATGGGGAGAGAGATTTCACTACGTCTGTACTGCTACACTTGCTTCAAGCCATAAATAATAAGTTTAATTCATTTAGAAGAAGAAGTCCATAGACGTTTATTGACGTCCATCGAACTTACAAACAAAATTAAATTAAATTCAAGCATATACAGGGTGTTTCAATAGTTCGCTCCGATTGTAAATTGTGTTTTGCGCAAAGCATTTAATGCTTCTCTAGGCAAATGTAAACTGATTCAGGTAAGAAATTTATCTAAATAACCGTTCAAAGCAATTTCAAACTAAAATTTGACGAAATTATAATATTTATGAAGTTTTGCCCCAAATGTGCACGTACGCGAGTTTTTTCCCGCCATATTTTTCCTGCCCATTTCGTAGGTTTTCTCTTTTCGTCTTTTTTCCGTTTTCTTCAATTGTCTCCACTCTGTCACGAAAATAAAGAACTACACTGTTTGTGCTAAAGCTGAGGCATCTATTTTTTTGGTCCACTGGCCATTCAGTCAAAGAAATTGTTAAACTGTTCAATAAAGTCTGAATGATATAAGTGAACAAGTGGTCGAAAGTAAAGACTTTAGAAGACAAAGCAAGGAGTGTATGGCCGTCTTTTTTTAAATGTGTGAGAAATGTTATCGAAAGAGCTGTAACTTTATGCGTAATAAATCTACAAGACAGAATGGTAAAAAAAACTTCAACTTCACAATATCAAAGTTTCGAGCACAACGGTATGAAGATATGTGACCAGCAAAGGATGGAAAGCCTTGAAGAGAAAAAAGCGGCGCACATGAAGACATGGTGTCAGAAGGATTTGGAAACTTTATAGCAAAGGGCGACCGGCTAGCAAACTCACGTGATGTGAACCCTCTGGAGACCATCTGGATTATCGTTGACGAGGAAACATACAAAGAACCAGCCCCCAAATAACTGGACGAGCTAAGGCAGTGACTATGCTTCGCCTGGAAAAGTGTGTCTTTAGACACACTTTGGGAGCTCGTACATTCTATACCTCACCACTTGGAAAGTGTCAGAAAACAAAAAGAAAGACACTCTGGTTAGCGATATTTCGGTTATTCAATGTTAAATGAATAATGAATAACATACTAAGTTTTACAAAAGATATTTTTAATAATCAGATAAATTTGAGAGAAGAAAAAATCGGAACGAACTTTTGAAACACCCTGTATATGTACATACAAACACCCCCTGCTTGCATATAGCTTGGCTACTTCATTTTCTGACATCAAGATTAACGTCAGTAATTTCAGAGCATAAATCCCAAAAATTGCCTGTAAGCGATGGGATTGCGATTTAATGCAAAATATTGGTAGCACATTTAAAATATCTGTAAACTTACTTCAATAATTCGTAATTCTTCTCATTAAGGCGTTGCGCATTCTCCCTCTACAAACACAAAAAATTGGAGTTGGTTTGTCCCGGGATAAAATGAAATCCAAGGAAATCAATAAAAACTCTCAACAAATAAGTTTACCAAGAGAGATCATTCTCTCTTGGTTTTACAGAAGTTACCCAGAATTTCTCGGACTTGTGTACAGGACTCCACTCCAGTCTCCCTGACCTCACCTCGGCTGCATATTCATCAAAGGTACTTGCATGGATAAAATCAAATAACGAATACAATTGGTTGTGGAATTATAGCAAAGAGCGCTGAATTAAGTTACCTGCTGTGTATTAGAAAAACTATGCATTACTGGATTAAAGCACACAGTCAATTATTCACCTAATGCCAGCGAAAAACGTCAGGCTTATTTTCACCCAAATTATGTATGTGCTTTCGAATAATAAATAACTCTAATACCCGCACGCATGATAACATAAATTCGAAATGGTGTGTCAAGAACACCATTGACTTCTAACTTTCAGGTCTAGTGTGCTATAGCTCTAGAAAACGTAAGTGACCTTTGTTTTTTGTCGGAAAATAGGCCTTTCCGATGCAGAGGGGTGCATCTTCCTGGGATACGAAGCGACCTCACCTTTCCTCCTCCCACCTAACCTCAGCTGTTGAAAATTCGGAAACAGAATTTCCACGTTTTTTTGGACATTTTTATTAAAACGAACTTTTATCGCGAAGGCACGGTCGTTGTTGTTGTTGTTGTTTT